CGCGCTGGGCGGGGCGGGCAGGGGGGCGGGAGCGGCGCCCGGGGCGGTCCCGGCGCTGAGGGGGTTCGGCTGCAGCGGGGCGGGAGTCGGGGGTGGTCGCTTTTGCTTCCAGACGCTCCCGAGGAGAAGGGGTCTGAGGGGGCTTCAGTCTGATGAGCAGATGTGGGTTCCTTTGTTCTKCTTCTGCCCTAAGCTTTAATAAAATCTCAGCGTGATTCGTGGTGCAGTGCTGGCCATAAGATTTTTTAATTTTCCCGGTGTTTCCCGATGAAAGCACTCTTACGAAGGGCCCCAGCCATGGCCCCTGAGGTGGGTTACACGTGGGGTATGAGGCATGACGGGCTGACTGCCGGCCACGGTAGTGGAAATCGCTCTCTCTGAGTTGTCRTGTTCTGGGAAAACATACAGTGTCAGTCATTTTTAAAATTAAAGTTGTTTCACTTCGAGCATTGACAAGTGCATTTTAACATGCAGGCCTSTCTTAAATATCTGTCAGTACAAGAGGGAGGTGTGTTCTTTGCAAGTGCCTCTAGCTGAGTGCTGGCTTCCCAATGTTTTCCTTGGTTTGTTAAGAAGAAATTTCTAAGAGAAATCTCTTCCTTCTAAGATTTGGTGGGGAATAGCCTAAACCAGTTTAATTGGAGGCTTTCTAAACATTAGTAGTAACTTCGGTCTCTCCTCAGGTATGATTATAAAGCTCCAAGGGCAAAGCCAAGTGTCCAACACTGCTCAGAGCACAGGCTTTGCTGTGCCTGCTGCTGCTGCTKCTGGGAGCACCTGCATTGCTCCCTCTGCAGATTATCTGCTCCAGAGACGGTGGAAATTCCTTTTCCTGCCAGCCTATCCTCAAATCAAGGATTCAGCTTCACCACTACTTGGGCTGACAGCATAGCACGGTGCTGGGAGGGGTGTCCTACAGTCCTGGAAATAGGTTAAAGAAATAGGACTTTAGGCTAGTAGCTGGCCGAGAAAGCCTCATATTCACAGACTACAGTGAGTGGAGGACATGCCATGTTGAAGAAATACCTCTTTGCTCTCTGCCCTGTCTAGTGTTGCCAGACAGGTGCYCTCTTGTAATTACGGGAGGGTAGCAACAGTCCCTTTCTCCACAAAATCACAGGATTATTCAGGAGGAGGGTCTGTATATTAAAGTTGCCCAGGCTCAGRGAGAGTAAAATGAGATGAAAAACGGTGCCTATGTGCTGTAACTATATATCACTACTTAGCAGCTGAGGATCTAACTTAATCTCTGGGCTGAATATCTGAATAGTAAATACAGGCAAATCTTCTTYTTTGCCTGAGACCGTGTCTGCATCACAACATGGTGTGTTCCCACATTTCCTCAGCCTAAAGACTTCACTAGGATGTCATTAAGAAGACCTCCCTGATTAAATGGCAGAAGATCAAAAAATAGTTGGATTTCCAGTATTCCTTGACTGCTACCCTGAGTTGGAGCACATTTTTTGCTAATATTGTTGTGGTATTTGAGAAAAGACTATGTCTGCAGTGTTGATCTTGCCCTTTTTATATTGTCAAATGTGGAGATTAGACCACTTACTAGTCCTCCTGGAGACCTTGCTTACTGAGAAGGCCACCCTTCCCTCATTTCTGTCTTTGTCATGTTATGTAGTTAAGTCAAATTTTTTATTTACCTTAAAAAAAAAAATCAGTCTTTTTTCCTTAAACAGACCAAGGAGGGAAAGTGGGGTGTTTTAATTTCTGCACAACAATCATGCCCTGTCCAGAGACAAGGGGAATGTGATCCTGTTCGAACATGAGATTTATGTAATCATTCTGGTCAAGTGTAGGCAGGAGCTTTCTCACTGCTTGTTTGCACTTCCACCTCACRTTGGGTGGGAGTTTTGGCTGCTGGCCATCTCTCTGTGGTTCCAGGCTGTTTGGGGGTTTTGCAGGTCTGGGCATAAACTCCAAGTAATAATAAGACACAGTGAAAATCACTGAGGTTAAGAATAGCCTGTAMGTGGGCTCTTCCCTGACTTTGTCCGGCAGTTATGTAGACATGGTCTTACTCAGCTGCTGTGCTTGGCAGCTTATTTTTTTTTGCTGGTTTTCCTCAACAGGAGTAATTCCTGGAGCAGGGAGTGGGAGCCAGCACTCACCATACTCTGATGTAGATCACCTGTGACACCAGAGCCATAGCCCAGAGATTCCACTGTGTGCCTCTCATGAAAGCAAGTGTTTGTGGATAATCTTTGTAAAGAAAAGTCACCACAGTATTTTATTGATTGTTTCCTTAGGAAGAGTGACTAATTTACAGTGCCTGAACAGTGCAGTCCTTACTCAGGCAACATGCTTGTTAAATTTAATGGGTTACTTTACATAGGTATTCACAGAGAATGCAAAAAGGTCTCAGCAAGGCTCACCTTGCTAGCACTACCCCAGGCTAAAGAAGATTTAAGCTCCTGGCACTATCCATACAGARCTGACCCATGGAGCTCTTGACCCTCTGTCACAGCAGGCCCCATGACTTTATCCACCATCACCACATTTACTTCCCACCCTGCAGCAGTCTGTGGCAGAAATTTATCATGAGTAAGCAGATGTGAAGTAGCATTTGCCCCCAACAAACACAACTACAGTTTTTCAAAGTTTTGTGAGTCTGACAGTTTGTGGCTTTATTCTAAATGTTTATAGCCATCTCATCCAAATAGATCTAATGTGTATTCCCCACTTCATATTCCTGTTGTTTAATATTAGAACYTTCCTCTTTGACAACATGGCAGGGAAACCTCTTTAACAGACGTAAGGATATAAGGGGCAGAAGGGACCTTAACATGATTGTGAAAAGGAGATGAAGTGATATATTTTTGGTGCATTTTACAATAAACCCTGTAATATGTTATAAAGAAACCTTTTGCTTTCAAGTCAACAGYTTTCTCAATGGTAAAACTAGAACTTTAAAGCATGGAAAGCTGAGATAGGGGCTTAGATGAGAGGAACATMATTTGCTGTAAATATTTCATCATAGCTGTATATATGAGTTTAAAACCTCAGAAAGGTTTGTAAGAAGGCAGAATGCATTCTTCTGCATCAAAATAGCAATTATTGTGTATACATTTTGCTTGCTTGCTTTGTGGACAAGTACAATTTTTGCAATACCCACCTGTCAGCTAGAATCTATCAAAGGCCTTATATGAGGTCTCTCCCATACCCTGGCTACCATGTGACAGTGAGGCTGGGCTGTCCTGTTGTGTGGCTGGATGGACACCCGAGTGAGGAGGGGAACCCACGTTTTGGTCTTGGAATGGGTGCCCATGTGAATGTGGAATTTGGAAAGAGCTCTGGAGAACACCCTGCAGGTGGATTGAGTGATCTTAGCAGGTTGGACTAGGCTTCCTGTCTAGAAGTCTGGCAAGAGATCAGTGTGTTAAGGATAATAAACCAAACAAATTGTCTGGCACAAACAACACTCTGAGTGTTTTCCCCAAGAGACAGATTTACTGCATTTAACATTATGCACTCACATAACATGCACTGACTAGTGCAGGTGACCCTCTCACTACTCATGCATGGGGTTGGAGGGAGGCTGCCCTCACACTGGGGTACAACAATGAAAAAACATCTTTCCAGGCAGCTCCAAGGATCCTCTGTCATGTCCATGAAGGCAATCCCACATGCTGCCCCTAGTCCTGAGGCATCCTATGGCACCTCCACAGCCACTGCTGCAGTTTTGCAACAGCTSAAGGCTTACACGGTGCCTTCAGAAAGGCAGATCCCTTCTCTTCCCTTTCCCACGTCTTTAAGCATACTTAGCATGCCATCTAATATATTTTATAACAAAGTCAGACCATGACTTAGCAGTACTGTTGTACACACACAATACAAGTGAGCTGYAAGTGATGTTATTCTACATATTAAGAAGTGTTTTTGGAGTGTAGCATATCTCATGCTGTGCATCAGATCGATTGGAAAAGACCTCTGAGACCATCGAGTCCACCTGTGWCCTAACACCACCATGTCAACTAGACCTTGGCAATGAGTGCCACATTCAGTTTTTCCATGATTTTATCAGGCATTGAAGTGACACTGACAGGCTTGTAGTTTCTGGGGTCCTCCTTCCTTGCCCTTCTTGAAAATCAAGATGATRTTTGCYAGCTTCCAGTCAGCTGGGACCTCTCTGCATTCCCATTCCAGATTTTGTTCTTGAACACAGAGACTTCATGGCCAGTAATCAGCTTAATCTCCAATGACCTTTAGAGTTCAGCTTTTCTGTCTTTGATAGGCGCTGACTTTTCTTGCTACTTATTTAAAGCTCTGAAGCGATAAAGACAGCCAAGTGCCATTTCATATGGTATGTCCGTAGTGTAAAAGTGTTGTGTCTTCTTGGGATGCAATGAGGATAGCTACCCATATTACCTGAGTGAATTACTACCAGCTGAAAAAGGCATTAATTGATATTTTGCAGCCAGTTTTGTTCTGCCTTTCAAACYTGCCAGACACCGAGAGTCATCAGTCATACTGAAAGTATTTATATAATTTAAATTTCTATAGTCAGCGAAGCTGATACTGTCACATCATAAATGCTTTCTCTTAGCAAGTTGAGCTGCTTATATAAGGATAGCAGCAGAATACCATGTGCTATGATAGCATGAGAGAGCCTCCTTCCTCTTTCTTCAAGGCTGCTCCTCTGGGGGGGACAAAGGGTACCTGCATGATCTATACATGGTAACAACCTGAGTTAGTTTAACAAAAAGTTATAATGTCCTGGAGGGATATTGGTGATGTGGTTCTTCACTGTAGACAGGATTTYTTCTTTGAAAAGCTCTTCTTGAAGCTTGTTTGAAAGGAACTAAACTCAGTGTCCCAAAAGCTCCTGTGGTTCGATGAGAAATAAAARGCTCTCTGTTGCTTAAGGATGAAAATTAGACCAAAATATGTGAATGCTATAAAAAAGAAAAGTTCTCTTCTTATTCTTGTCTACACTTGTGCAAGGAGCCTTGTCAATGTACACAAATAAATGGCAGGCAGGTGTATCCATTCCATTTTATGTTTATTATGAAAGTGATTTTAACAAAAGTTTTATTACATGCTTCRTTTTTAACTTTGACATAGAAATCAAAGCTATTAATATACAGAGGCAAAAGGAGATGTATTTTCTTATAAGGTACATTTACAACAACATTTTCTACTATAAATCTGACAATTGTTAAAATATTGGTAAAGCTTAGCACTGTATTTTATTTTCTAAGTATCAAATTTTGTACAGTTATTCACTATCCTTGCTCTAAACTATTATTGTACATTTCATATGGAAATAGCTGTTTGTACACAATTTACATTGGTAATAAAGCTTAGAAGTCCCAGCAGCATCTACAACAGTTTAGTTTAAAATCTCATTCCTGCGCAGTGGTTTAYGTGGAGCAAATTGATGCAGAAACCAGTATTACACTCCGTGTGTTTTCCCTGAAAGCCAGCCTGCCAGAAATTCCTGCTTGAACTGGTGAAGGACATGATCATAATGAATTTCATGCAGCTGAAATACCACTGACCTCAGTGATTTTGCCTAAAAAAGACTCTGTGATCTGATCCAGTGTGAGGTTTCATGACTTCCACTGCTCCATATGAGCATAGAGAAGGCTTTCTTGTCTTTCCACTATTCATGGGTGTAATCTGTTGAATTCCCTTTTATTTCTGAGTTTTGTGTTGTTTCTTATCCTAACAATGGAAGAAGAACCAGCACTAACTTTAAAATACATATTCTTTGTATGTTATGAAAATGGGAAGCACTTTAGAATGATAATCAAATCTGTTTAAATTAGCATGTTACATTGCTCTAGAAAACTCTTCCTGTGATGCCAGTGAGACTGAAGAAATAACAAGGTGTGCAATTCAGAATGATAAATCTGGCAACTGCTCACATCCACCCCAGTCTCCTAAAATATCTTTATAATCAACACGTTGAGTCCCTGCTGCTTTAAATGCAAATGAATGGCCTTTCTAACTTATAAAACAYAGAAAACAATATTTACAAAATAATTTTAATTAAAAAAGTAACAAAACCAAACTCTAAAAAAGATATTTTCACAATAATTAAAATAAAGTTTAATTAATCAAAGTCACTTTTTTCTAGATATTGAGAAAATTGAATTGCAATTGTTTGTATATCTTTAAACTTGTTATCTCTGCTCTCTGAATACAGATGGTTTAAATTATTACATCTAAAAGTACGTCTGTACATTTTACTCTTGTATATTACATATTTTATAGATTAAAAGCTTTATGATGAAAGAATAAATAAATGACATAACAAACTGGAATTGTATATATTCAGATACTTAGATGACAGTTTTTTGACGTTGTTTATTTCCCAGTCTGTTTTTATTCAGATGAGAGATAAAACTAGAGACTTGTCTGAATTCAAATCTCATGCTGAGGAGTAAGTTCACAGTACCTTACAGAAATTTCCCTTCTTCCATAAATTCTTATGGAAGACAAAAGTATTCMTTTTCCCAAGTGCTTACAACAGACTCTCATTCTAGAAAACAACTTCATTAAAGTCCCAAAGTACAGAGATTCTACAAGAACTCCTTCAGTTACTCCCATTCCTGTCAATCAGTGGTTTTAAACTACGAAAAAATGCAACTACTTGAAATCATGATATAGATGTTAGGAATTGTGTGTGTCACTCATTCCCATCACTAAAAAAATCRTCCAGACCCCTGAGGTGGCTAAGAAATTTACCTCTGGGTTCAGCTGAAGATTTCACTCCAGCTTCTTTTTTAAGAGCATTCAAAGGTATTTAGAGTCCAAACATGGGAACTGTCACAGAAGCAGGTGGTTTTGCTGTCAAACATCTGTCAGCAAATCCTGTATAAGAATCATACCACAATTTTGCTCCTGAATTTCCTAACCTGTTATCTACAAGATTAAAACTGGATGTGAGAAATTTGAATCTGTAGGGCAKGCTTATAAAGAAGCACAGGGTAACGTTTGACCGTCCTTTTGGAATGCTAAACACATGTAAAGGATGTTTTTCATGCATGTGGCAGCATCTTTGCTTTATGCTCAAGACAAGACTACMGGTGAGCTGTGCTCTTTAAAACCCACTGACAACTCAGAATGTGGACCCTCTAAAAGCCCTCTGACCAATCCCACATTTATTTAAGCTAGTCTAAAACTAAACTAAACTACACCTGGCTTACAAGGTAAGTAAAACTTTATTTCCTTTTAAGTAAGATTACTCTGGGATGAAACTGACTAGTCTAAATCCTAAATAGTCATAACTTTATTCTATGAGGGAAGCGCAAAGAAGGAAATAAATTTCTTTTGAAAAGTTGGTCTTTAGGTAAAAATCTAATGTATGATAGAGGAAGGAAGACAGGACAAGAAAGCAGGCTAAAAGAAAGACTTCAGGAGTTTTAAATTCCGTTTCAGTGAGCTAAATCTTCAGGCAGATTGAATTTTTTTGCTGCAGGCAAGATGCAGTGTGGCAGCAGAGGTGGCAACCTATTGAACAGGGAATSCTGACCCTCCCTTTATTCCAAAAACACACAGAGGCACCTTGTCCTCAGTGCTTTCAAGGCACAACTCAGGGCTTGATGAGCAACTTGTGATTGCTGCAGTGTCCTGGACTGCAGCAGGTGCGGGCAGTGATTTGGTGGCCTGTGAGAATGTTTAAGGATGATTCACCACCACCTCACTAAAAATAAGTGCAGTATTTAAAGCAGAACAATAGGCTTAAAATGTTAAGTGCTGCAGGTGCAGCTTTAAGAATATAGGCATTTACAAACTGATAATAAAGAGCTCTGTGCCACAGAATTGGGCWATCACAAATGGACACTTCTTTCATCTATCTGTAATAACACATAAATGTGTTGTTGCACCTGTCATACAGACAATGTGTAATTCTGTAAGAACAGATATAGGGCTGCATATATTGATATGTTCAAYTGCAGTATTTCATATTCAGGGTAAAAAATAAAATTTTATATTCAGCCCCGTTCATGAATCTGGTTTTCTTTCTCCTTGTATGGTTTTTGATTACCAAATGTGTCTATRTCTTCTCTCTAGAAGACATTCCTTGCTGTGTTGTTGTCATGTGGTAGCAACAGGTTCTCTGGTTTTGACAATGAAGGCATCCTTCTATTTGGTGACTGTAACTATAAATCTACTATRAAAGTCAAAGCATTTATAACTTATAGAGCTGATATAAAAGTTCTGTGCTGTTCTATGAATCAACTGAAATCAGTCCTTTATATCACTTKTCATTACTTATTTAATTAGAAATTTGCACATCCAGGAGCATTTCTATGCAGAGTCGCAAGCATTCAAACCAGTTTCATTTTCTAAATATATCAGGTATAACCCCCCTGTATGTTCAGAAGCATTTAATTGTCAGCTTCTGAAGGTTAAACTATTCTCTTTCCTTCAGTGCCTTCAGCAACACMAAGACTGTGTTTGCCATAGAAGTCCACAAGTGCCTTGTCCTGCTGTGGCTCTGGGGAATATGAGCTCACACTCATTCTTGGGTTGTCTGTCAGGATGAAATGAACAAAATCCTGGTTTTGTGCAGTGTTGTTGTCAGTCAGGGCAAGTGGTACCAGAGCCAAATGAAACTGCTCACACCTGTATTCATCTCTCACACCCCAAGGTCCCACCACCAGTGGCCARAATTGGGACATGTGCCTCTTATGGTTGCTCTCTGGCACTGGATTTCCCATGGAGCTAAGAACCTGGAAAATGTTACAGTGCTGCCAGTGGATTCTGGACTCTGGCATCAGCGTCATACAGTGGTATTATGTCCAAACACGTTGGTTGTTAAAAAATTTAGCAAGGATTTTACTAAACTCAATGTACAGTACCAGGTTGYACAGTTTGCTTACTGAAGTTTGAAATACTGAAGATTGCTGTAAATCATTTGCCAAATGAGGAAGTTATTTTTCTCCATATTTTTCATATATTTTCCTTCATATCTTTCCAYAGAATGGCTGCAATCCTGACCCATTCTAATGGATCTGAATAATACTCTGAATAAACTATCAGACTGTGACTATTGCTTGGCTGAAGTAGTTTTTTAGCTATACACTCCTTACATAATTGAGTACCTGAAAAGAATTTTGCTTTTTAAACTATTTTTGGTATAAATAACTACTGTTAAAGAAAAAAATTCATTAAACTTTTTTTTTAATTCCAGGCACAGAGTAAATCCAGGATTGATGAGATGTTCTCCCGTGTTCACCTTTAACAACCCTTGGTGAAGAATAAATAAAAGTAGTTTTAATATCTTCAAGAAAAAATTAGGTCTAACAGCCTTTAACAAAGGACTTTTATGGAGAAGGTACATTTTTTAACAAGGGTTAAAGTATATATTAAAAAAAAGCTCATCAAAGATCGGGGGTCCATGAGTGGAAAAAAAATGAATTGCTAAACTATAAGTTTAGGCTGTTCAGGCATAGAAAGAAAAAAAAAATTATATTCTTCAATGGAGAAGGAAAGAAGGCAAGTAAAATTACAAGATGGCTAAGTAGGAAAAACTCAACAGAATACTTAGGGTGTCTCTTAAAAATTAAGTATTTAACAACTTGTAGCCAACAGAAACCAACTCTATAAATTTAAACAGTACTTGCTCAAAGAAAAAAAAAATGGTTAAGAAGATAACCAAAACCACCCCTAATGTATGTCTTTGAGAACATTTAAAGATGTGTTCAGCTACAAGGCAGACAGGCAAAAAAATGCAGCAAACCAAAACTGTGTGTTAGTGTTTTTCTGAAAGGCTGCTGCCAGGAGTTTTAATTTTTCCTTTTAATAAACTTGTAGAATCAGAAGGGAAAATGATATACAAGAGGAAGAGACTGAAAAGGAAAGAGGCCAAAATACTAATAAAAAAAAGAAGGGTCCTTTCTCATTTGAATTAGCTTCTGTGCCAGGAAACAGCAGGAAACACAGGATTTACCATCATGGCAAACCCACTGTTGCTCTGTGAGCAGGGCCTGAGCRCAAGGCTAAAGCTCTCCTGCAGTCTCTGTGCTTGATGGGCACTGTGGCTACAAATCTGGATAAAACRGAGTGCTAGGTCTCTGCAGACACAGCACCTGCCCTCCAACTCCTCTGCAAAACAGTATCCTGTTCCTCCCGAGCCCCTGAAGTCTTGGTCTGAGACACAGGTGTGCTCCCAGTGTTTTAGAGACAGCAGGTCCAACAAAAATCCCTCCTTGCTGAGCTCCTGTCACACGTGTTGTCCTGATGTAATTGGGTTGGTCTGCATGTGGAGGGGTCCCAAGGAACAGGCAACAGCTGACCCTTTACTGGATGGCAGTTGCATCTTAACTGATGCTATTTTTCCTAGAATAATTTATATTGAAAGAGATTGTCCCAGAGTAAACCATTATCCAGTATTAYGAAACCTCAAAAGGCTTCAGTTTGGTGTTAATGGAAGTGACAAGCACTTGGAGAAGTAATTTAATCATCTACATGAAATTACATATAGATATGAGTAAATAGGGTGTGGGAGTAAAGATTTAAGCATGAATAATATTTACAGTAACTAGAGATAACATTACTAATGTACCCACAAATAGAAGTATATATTTATATATTTATATATCGTACTTAATTAGATGCTCTCTTAATGTAAAGAAAATCAAGACTACTAGTGTTGTTCATTTCTCACATATCCTATTGTAAATRTCTTTAAAGGGACCAACTGATGCATAGAAATCCAGAACTAAATCTGTTTCAATWAAATAATTAACAGTGGCAAACCTCTGAAGAAGTTTAGAAGAGGACAGATAAAAACATTAGGATATATTAGGGCATGGGACTCAATCTCACGTAATTCATAAAACAAAATTATACATGTGGTTTTTTTTTTTCTTCTTCTTTCTTTTTTCATTTTTGATTTCTACTTGGACAGAGGTTCCACCAAGCCACAAATGAGAAATAACAAAATTTAGATTGTTTTGTTTTCTTCTAAAAATTCAAATATAAACTTCAAGTGCAATTCAAAATCCAAATATCATTTATACTACATACTTCTTTCTACAACAGAACTTTTCTGCAGGTAGTTTAATCATATTTGAATAGATTCCTCCTTTCTTTGACAAAAGTTATTGTTGATGAAAAAGAAAAAACTAGAAAGAATATTTTTACACAGTGAAATTTCAAATGGAAAGTGAGGATCCACCAGTGCAGACACAAATTTGGATCTACAACTAGATGCACTCAGGGATGCACGATTTCTTTTTTTTTTTTAGTAAGAATCCCATTCTGAACATTGACTTTTAACAATTATAAAACATTGTAGGTGATTTTCCGTAACAATTGAGAACAAAGACCGCAAAAAAAGAGCCTTCAGATCAGGAAACTGAAGTTTCTACTATGGAGGAAAGAAAATATTTGACAGGAATGCAAAGTAACCAAAAATTGAATACCACTAGACTATTTGTATGGTCGTAGAAATCTGGAAACTTTTGATCGCAGTAGCTTTATAAATGATCTTGGAAACATTTCTTTTGACTCTTGTGCTGTGTACTTGAAATAGTTTTGTGGATGTGCCAGTACATCAAAGAGAGCTTTAATCAGTTTCTTGTCCTAGGGAAGACAACACAGATATGTTAGAYAGAAGCAGGATTTGGGTTTAGTGTCTGCACAGTTTTCAGAATTGAMCAATCAGATCTATTTTGCAAAATTTCAGCCTGGGTAAAACAGTGTAAGGAAACTGCTCCATGTTGCTATGGAATTTTAAAGTGATGAATCTACCTACTGTGCTGGATAGTTTTTGCAGTGCTCCTGGCAGGTCCTGCACTGGGAGGGCAGCACCAAGTTAATCACAAACTGCAGATGTTGGGCATTAAAACTGCAAACTYTCCCTCTGACCATCCTTCCAGCCTCTTCCATGCTGCTATCCAGGCCCTCCCTCCGCRGCTGGGACACAAGGCTGGGAGACAMGGCTGTTCTTCAGTGCTGCTGAGCTTTCTAAGAACCTTCTCCTGTACCTTGGTAAAGCCTTGACTGAGAGCCTCAGCTGAGCTGTGCCTGGCACTGTCCCTGCAGCAGGGACCTGAGCAACCCAAAAGCTTGAGTGAGAGAACGGTGCAGCACTGGGCAGGGATGGCCAAGGGAGCCTTCATCAGCTCCTGTCCTTCCAAACCCTACATTTACACAGYTTAATTTTGTCCCCAAAAAGCCTTTTTTCAGTTTTAGTAAGTTAGTTGTTACAGTTGTTGCTTGTACCTTTGGAAAACCATTTCATAGACAGTTTTCAATGCTATATTATAGTTATGTCTTATTGAGGGAAGACAGTGATTTAGGTAAATACATTTTTTAATGCACAGGAAACTTAATGAATCATTTAAACATTTAAATGCCAGACTGAGGCTGAAGAAGGTTCTTCAAACAATAGGTTCTTCATTCTTGGCTAACTGATTTTTCKAGCAAACAATCTCATTAGTCATATTAGCACACATTTAATTTAGTTCCTGATTCCACAAAGGCCATAAGTGTTTAGTGCAGCTGAGTTGGAGTTTATTTTTGGGCTGCTCCAAATACCAGCATAAACCTCAAGAAGACAGAGAACTGAATTTGTGGTGACACTTGAGCTTTAAATATGACGACTCTATCAAGGTAACAAAAACTATTTTCGGAAAATGCTTAGAAAAAGGAATTCTTGGTTGGCCTCAAAGACAGAAGAMATTTCTTACCTTTAGAATTTCTTGATGGTTTTCTGATGCATATAATCGGCCATCTCGAACAATGTCTTCTATTAGTTGTTGGTAATCCTCTGAAAAATAAAGATCAGTCGAGTGACTGTTTGTGACATCCTTTGGGGGGATAATAGCCAGGATGTGCTAGACCTCCTCTTGAAGACAGAGCTGAGAAATTTTGTATCCTCTTAATTACTCATTGTCTCTACTCAAATTGGCTGTTGCATCCTAATCCAATCACCTTAAAATTCTCTAATTCTTTTCAACAGTAATTATGAATTATCCCAATAAATAGTAACATCCTCAAAAAAATCTTCCAGATAAMAATGCTGTCGTATCTCCACTTTAGAGCCAATTTTAAAATTAATTAATTAATTAAAAATTAATTCACTGGACTAAATCTGAGTCACTTACAGTTTTTCCTCATTCTTCTGTCACTGTAAGCAGAGTAAGAGAGATTCTAAAGGAAAATTTTCTGTAATTCAAATATAACACAGAGATGAAGAACAATTCCATTCTCACCATCATAAGTCACATAGGGGACCTGAAATCCTTTGCCACTGTTTCCTTCATTTGATTTGAACTGAATCCACAGTTTCCTCGATCTTGAGGTAAATGCAATAGGTCTCTCATAAGTCTGACATGTTTCATATGTAGTAATCGAAGTAGGAGAAGCTAGAAATAAAGTTAAATTATGTTCTTTATAAAATTTTTGCACCCTTCCACATCTAGAGGTCAGAAATGTCAAATTCACAAGACACTTCTCAGTGGACATATTCCTGAGAGCAGAAGGTTTTTGTGATARAATGCATGTAGTCTTTAGTTGCCTGTAAGGGGAAGTTTTTCCACAAAGGTAATGGGAGTCCCACAGCAAGAAGCTTAAGCAGATGGTAAGATATATTTTTCATGTTTATAAAATTACTATCAATATGATTTTTTTTTACTACTCTACCATCGAGTTGCAGAGTTCCCATATACTTGTCCCAGATAGGTAAGAACAAGGGAGCTGCATGGCAGGCAGAYATGGCAGTCCCTCATATGCCCAGTTTGGGGAGTTCACCTGATAGCAAATAACTMATCAGAATGCAATGCTTGGTGTAGTAACTGTGACCAAAAGACTGCCACACACTGGGGAGACACTGACCCACAGAACAGTTAACCTGGCTGTGAGGAGGTGATCAGTGACAGCCAACATGCCTTCACTAAGGGCAAATCATGCCTGAAGTGTAACTTTACCCTGATGTGACWGGTTTTGGTCACTGCTGGAGCCACAGTTTGGGGTTAGAAGGACAACTTGATGTGTTTTGCTATATTAAGTGCTTTGCTTTTAAAAAGATCATCTGGACAGATGTAATTTCCTTCCATCTACAGTGACCAGGTGTCCTCCTTCTGATATGCAGAAATGTCAGTACAAGGATAAAAAGTTGTGAAAATTGTTTTAGCAAATAAAATACACCATTTTAGTGAGTAAAATACACCATTTTGAACCAAAATTCCATATAAACAATTGCCTTTCAGGTTTGGTGCTTCTTGGAGATTTAGCAGCAAATCACCGTAAGGATGCCTACATCCTTCATGCAAAAGAGGAGTGCATTTCACTGGGATCTTAACTTCAGAAGCTGTTGAATTAACTTTTTAAGCAAAGACACTATGTACCCCCTCCACTCCCCAGAAAGGTTGGATAACTCTGGATTTCTTGAGGATGTCAGTTGTACCAACCCACTGCCAAGATTCAGCAACAACTGCAGCATACATATATACTTATAAAGGATAAGTGAGAGCACAATTTGTACAGGTTACAGAGACAGYTCTCCAGATACATTTTAGCATTGTTGACTTCTAGAGTGGCAGTGATTTATCCGGTGTGTAACTGGGAAAGASAGAAGTCATTATCTGCTTTGTGATTCAGACAATAAACTTGAATTGGTATCACCCTGCTAACTGTAMTTGGKAGTGTTCTGCTTTAACTTGCTGAGMCWCTTCATTCAACARTCCTTTCAGAAACACTGGCAGTCATCCCTCCAACGTGAACTCTTCATTCCATCAGTTTGCAATAAATATAATCTGTGTCTGGCAACTTACCACTTTTTCTCATTACTAAAACATCACCACATTCATCTTCAATTGGGAGAAATATCTCAGGCACTACGATGAGTATTCTTCTCTTTGGGGGTGGATTTATATTCCAAATGCATTCCACATTAGCTGGGTAGTCTCCAGGGTAGTTGGGTGATTCAATGTAGCCAGTGTAATCCCCCAGTTCTCCTCCACAGTGCTGGTCTGAGGAGAAACATAAATTTGCATTCATATCAGTCGATTAGCTAATTTGAGGTGTTTTTCTAGATCTGTCAAGAGCTAATCTAAACTCCTGCTTGTGGATTTAGAAAGGCACACATTCTCCAGCTTTAAAGGAATAATTGATCCAYTGGTTGCTCCAACTAATTTGCAAAACCTTAATCTCAGGTGCAGGAACTGATTCAATGCTCCATCCAGGCTGCTTTAACATTTGATTGAGAAACACAGRTAAATAAACATGATCCAGTTGTGGAGGTACTCACACAGTGGTTACCATGGATACCATGCTGACATGCAGAAGATGTTCTGCTTTCATTTATTTATATATTTGACCAGATTAAGCTGAATGAGTGTGCTGGTCCCAATAGCCAGCCATACTTGATTACAGATTTGCCTTGCTTCATCTTAGATTAAACCAGTTAATAAAGGATCTCCACTGATGGATCAGTTTTTATTTCTGAGTTTTCAAAACTCCTACTGAATTTGGCATAAGTTACTTGTGCTTGATCTCTTCAGGCTTACTCATCCACATAAAATTAGATATACGTTTAAATATTATTCAAGGTCAGAAATTGGCTTGAAAGCCGAGAGGATCTAAACCAGYAAAGTAACAAAGATGGTTTTATTTTACAGGAAAAGAATCAAACTTCTTCAAATTCCATACAAATATATCATTTACTCAAATTACATTAGAAATTATGAAGGGTTTAAAAGACATGGCACTTAATCAGAATAAAAACTTACAGTAGATCAGCACATGAATAGTTGGTTATATGACATTGCTTAATTATTACAGAAACATTCTCTTAAATTAGCATGGTAGAGATGAAAAAAAGCTTGCCTGAAATAATCAGTCATTTACAAAGGATCAAATAAAACTGCACTGAAATCCTTGCAATTAAGATGGGAGGCTGAGTATTGCAAAAAAGCCTCCAAGAAGATCTCACTGTCATAAGCGATTACATGGCAAATGCAAGCATGCATGACCATATCCCCTAATATTTTATAATTATTACCAAATTGCAGTTACTCTGATAGAAGGTATTTTGGTCTACAGAAACACAGAGAAATATGCATCACTGTTGCATAACTTAGAGTCTCTGGGAAACTAAATGSTYTGTAGMTTTAACYTGTAGCTGGCACTCTGTGAAATCAYATGAAAGCTAAAACACTCCTGCATCAAGTAGTATTTTCCCAGGTTTTTTTTCCCTCATTGTTTTCCCAACTTTTCCTATTCTCTCTGGCAAAAGATCTATGCTAACTAGGAAATACAAAACCGAAGTCCAGGCTGACAGATGGAACCTTCGAGCTGCAGTTCAGATCCGAAGACACRCTTTATGTCACTGAAATAAACGTAACTTACTTTTACAGTGTGTGACATTGGTGGAGCCATCAAAATCTGTACTTGTGTTGCCAGGGCAGGTGATGCAGTAATTTTGACCAAACTCAGGCTGGTATGTTCCCACAGGACACCGGATACATCTGTGTGTTGTGGAGTTGTAGTAGTGTCCAGGAGAACAATGAACTGCAAGGTATGAGGTGTATTATTTTCAAAAAGTAGCTACCTTCAGTGCAGAGAGAAYTTTCCTCCACCATGGACATACCTGGTCTGCAACATACTTATTAGACCATAAAAGGCAGAAAAGACACCAGCTCCCTCTATTTTCCAGTGTAAAGGATCTTCTAACCAGAACCCCATTACTAGAGCTAAACCCTTATGAACTAGAAATRCCTGATGCACACCTCTCACCGTATTTAATGTATTTGTAATAAATGGAAGCTGATGCAAATCCACCTCAACAAGAAAAATTACTTTCACAATAGCGGGAGAGAGGGCCAGAGACAGCATATTATTCCAGTAACTAAACCAAAATGTATTTGGGCAYATTCCTTCTTCAGCACTGCAATGCAAGTTGACATTATGGAATACTGAATGTATTGCATGCTTACAGTTTCTGCCTAGCCCATGAGTAATCAATCCTTAACTTCTGTAGTGTTTAGTTTTTCTAGTTTTAATAAATAAAAATATACATGATGTGAAAGTTAAAGCATTGTCTAATCCAAGTTTGTCTTGTTTCTTGCCACAGAGTGGGGCTGATTCCCTTACCAGTTGCAGTGCTGACCCTATACCTGCCTGCGGTAAATTCAAAAGAAAACCATAAAGCGTGTTCTGTCTGCACAACCTCAGGAGACCATTCCCAGTTTACAAATTCCTTGACAGTTTCATTTAATCACATGCCCATGCAGCGACAATGTTTGTTTTGGAGCCTTCCAAAGCCCCCTGGCACTGATAATAAGCRAAGGTCAAGAAGTAGGAAGATAAATTGTGGAAAGATTTTAAATTCACCTTTGGTTTCACAGTCTTGAAAGGAAACAGCACCTTCGTATTTGGTCACAAGCCCACCACCACAGGGAAAGCAGAGGGTCCTTCCTGGTTCAGGCTGATAGGTACCAAGAGGACAGACTGTACAAGGTTTAAAACCATCTGAAGARTAATGCCCAGGAGAACACTGCCCTAGAAATTGAAAACAATCATCCGTGTTAGTGTGTTGATTTTTCTGGATGAAGTATAAAACACACTAGTAGTTAGCAAGGCTTTCTTTCACTTAAATATGTGACATCAAGACAGCTGCAGATCAAATTCTAATCTTACCTGCAAATTGTGTATTGTCCCTGTATCATCACCAGTAAATAGAACCAGTTTCATAWTATGGTTTTTGGCAACTCGTTTCTGTTTGGTGGGATTTTTTTTTTTTTTAAGCAAGGGCTCTATCAAGATTTTGCTAGAACACTTTGTACTTTCACCAACTCTTTCATCTCAGCATTTCAAAGCGTTTCATAGGGGAAAAAAAAATGACACTACACCATGCCTAGGAAACRAGTTTTTGTATCTCCATTTTATAGATGTGCGAACAGTGGATCATGGGATTTACCAGATGGGAGGGTACCAGTCCAGCACTTTGTCTATAACACCAGCAACTTTCCATGTAGTTGTGAAAACTAGTGCTTGTCAGATGCTATTCTGCCAGAAAATGGTGACTTGTGTAAAGCGAAACRTTTTGTGAATGAATCTACTGACGGAATTTTCCAGACTCACTCTCCAAGCAGTTTCTGATAGGCATTTGTTTGGCTTGCTTCTTACCCRCTTGAGAACTTTACTCCATGACAACCTGAGAACCAGGATGTCAAGTTTTTCAAGATTATGGCATGAATTGCATATCTTCACACCACTCCACACTGGGAGACCAGTGCTGTGAGATGCTACATATTCCCTGAGGGTGCCTAGTCCCAGTAATTTGTTATTTAGCTTCCATGAGAACTAAGCAGCGGACAGAAACAACTGGCTTGAAAACATGGAAGTTTTGAGAGCTCGTGGTATTGTTGCAGTCTTGTAAGAACCCTGATACTTTTGGGAAATGTTTGGGGTATCTTGGGTACTTGGCATGAATAGGAACTTTGGTATTTAGGATGAACTAGAGCTTCTGAGTGAAAGCAAAATTCAAGTTCTGTTCCCACAAAAACCAACCTCCTATGGACATCTGTGGGGCCAGGATCTTTAGGATTTACTCGTGCTGCCACCCCAGCTGGCTGAAATATGACTGTACAAACTGGTTGCTGTGACACAGATCTCAGAGAAATATTGTGATGTTACTAATTTGAAGACAATTTTGCTCTTGCTTTTTAGTAGCAAAACTCATCTTTCTGGTCTGATCCAATGGATTRCTGCAACCTAAGCTGGAACAGGTTTCCTGGTAGGACTTATCATCCTGTGGGAGATCCATAGTGGAGCAGGCCATGCCTGAAGGACTGACCCTGTGGAAAAGTGACCCATATTAAAGAACTGTTKCCCATGAGATGGAGTCACATTGGAGAAACTCATGGAGGACTGTGTCCCATGGGAGGTATCCCATGCTGGAACAGCAACAGGAACAACRTCAGTGTGATGAACTGACCATAACCCCCATTCCCATCTCCCTGCACTGCTGGAGGGCAGGAGGTAGAGCTGCAAAGGAGGAAGGAGTGTGGAAAAGGTATTTTTAGATATATTTTATTTCTCCTTATCCTGCTCTGATTTTGATTAGTAATAAATTCACTGGATTTTCCCAATTCGAGTCTGTTTGGTATTTGGTGAGTGCTTTCTCCCTTGCCCTTAGTCATGAACCTTTGTTATCCTGTCTCTCCCCTCTCCAGCTGAGGAGGGCAGAGATAGATCAGCTTTGATGGGTTCCTGGTGTCCAGGCAGAGGCAATCTACTGCAGCATGGAATTCACTTGCACAAGTGAATTCTGCACAGCAGGCACTTAAAATCTCTGACATACTTGTGGAATGTATGTTCSTCACCTGGAGGGGTGAGGATTTCAGCAACAGTTTATTGGTTACTACACAGGCACTTCTGCTCTAGAAGATATGATGCAGAAATACTACTGAATATTGGTAGTGAGTACATTTCTAACGAAGTCTGGTTATCAAAAATACACTGTTTCATCACATGTGCTGACACATTTTAGGAAGGCATACTGATTTCGATAAAAACTTTGACAGGCAAGTTTACAAAGTCCAAAGCATATTCCCTCTTGCCACTTCCAGAGAAAAAGGGGAAAGCTGAGCAGAAAAACAGACTTGTGATCTGACAACAAACACTGCGAGATAAATCCACCCTGCAAAAATAATCAGAAGGGTTTCTTTTTGTTGTTGTAGAGAAAAATAATTCAAATGTAAGCCTTGAAACTAAAGTCTTTTCCTCTAGTTGTTATGCTGCTTTTGTCAGCATACTATAGTCAATCTTTATAAGCTCAGACTTAATTTTGATAAGCTATTCTTGTATTTTGGATAAATACAAATCAGCATAGCAAAGATGTTTTAAATTTGTATATAACACAGGTGTTTCAAATTTTTCTTCKGATAGTTTCTTCATACAACAAATCAGCAAAATCTATCATATGTTTGGACTGGAGACACAGCAGTTATTTTTTATTCAGTAGATGGGAAAAAGCAGCAGTTTCTCAAGTGACATTTGCCATGYGTTCACTTAAGATATCCTTGAAGAAAGCATTAATGTAAATGATACGGAATGAGTTCTAAAGTTAGAATTTGTGTAGCAGATAGGACAGATTTTTTTCAAAGCAAATAATGTATTTGCTATAAACTAGATTTCAATAGTCTGTAATGAAATAAGGTAAAGAAAATAATTAATAGTTATGATTTAAAACCTTACACTGAACAAGTTACAGTAGAAACACCAGGTATTATCATCACTGCAATTTAGTTTATAAATCATGAAGTTGAATATAAGATGCTACATCACTTGCCAAAAGCTGCAATGCATTCAAGCAGTGCTGAAACTTGCAGTCATTTGTTCTAAGTCTGGGTTACAGRTCCCTGCAGCATAACTATCTCAACTTTATAATTGCTGCTAATTACAGCAGGTAAGCTGCAAAACACTAAATGAGCAGGGTCATTATTAGACTCACCAATACCACTCCGAAGTAACCCATCCCTCCTGCTCACAATATATTGATGAGTCCTTACAAATCAAGATACTGCCATACCTGACTTGAAGCACRAAGTGCTATGCTTGGCTTGCTCATTTCCAGACAATAACTCACATTGCTGCAGCAGATCCCGTCCTCATGGCAGCAAAGTGAGTGGATGGACCAAGCCAAACCATCCRTTGCTTGTAAGTGCACAGAGATTTCTTCTGTTACTTTTACAAGACAGAAATGTAGAAGGCTYTCTGCTCTTTCAGCCTCCCTGCCTCACAGGATGTATGGAAACACTTAAAAAGCTTTTATGRTCAAGTTCAACTTGCCTCCACATTCTGAGACATTCCGGGCACCTGCCACTCCCTGGCCATCATTACTTGGGCAAGGCTCACAGGTGAGTTGACCTTCTGTGTCCTGGTACGTTCCTGGCGAGCACGGAACGCACTGATTCTGCTCTCCGCTATAAAAGGTGCCCGTGCTGCAGGTAACTGAGAAAAGAAAAGGGGAGGCTACGTGAAGATGTTAATTTTGATCACATTATTTGCCCTTATGTCTAGCATTTAGAGAAAATGGATCTCTTTGACCCCAGTATAATGGCACGTGTTTTGCATATGTTAGTACAGGATCCTCACCTGATGTAAACACACCCATCTCCACTGCAGTCTAGGCCAGTTTATATCAAGGTGGAGTCCTGCTATTGTTTGAACTATTAAATGGCTTTACACTGCACTCAAGTGTTTATCACATGTGTGTTGTTAATAAAGCTGGGTGCAGTCTTGAATCAGTATCTTGCAGTTTATTAAAAYAGTGCTGCACAAAGTGTGGGAAGCAACGTGAGCTTTCAGTTTACACCAGGTGCATTTACAAGTTGGGTTTATGGCAGATGACAATAAAAACCCTGTTTCCTGAGATCTGTTCTAGAGATTTCTCCATGGGCAATGTATCCTCAGTAATAATTTATGTCTCTTGCCACTCAAATACCCCAGTAAAGCATCTTAAATACAGCTATGAACACATGTGCTTTCCTCGCTGCAACAGGGCACGTATCATCAAACATCATATGCATCAAACATTTTTCCCTACTGGATAGGGTGTTTAAAATGCCTGAGTTTCTAGACACTAATAGCAATAGTCTTTGAAACACAGCTTCTAAATCACTATTACCATATGGTAACAACTACCTCTGAACCAACTCATTGCAAACACCTATCCGATCTGACCTCTTTTGGCTTGTAAATCACTTGGTATCTAAAATGCTGGAACAATAGATATGCTGATTTTCAATAGATGTCTTGAAGTGATCAGAAAACTGAGTGCTGAGAACTGCCATTAATAAGTTYGCACTACCACACTGTCCCAGCAAAGCACTAGAGCCTGATGACATGGGAAAAGACTTAAAGAAATTAGGTATTTCACATAAAATAGATTTCTAGAACCATTTTTTAACTGGAACTCTTGAGCATGAAGTATATCCATGGATCACAGATTATTTGGTGGTGAGGAGAGTGAGAGTGGTGATATAAAAGTAAATATATAGCAACTAGGCAAACAACACTATTGTTTTACAGAATTGAAATTATATTTTCATGAGATGGGAGCAACTGGCAGCTAACTGCCAACATTGTCTTATGGCAGTTTTGATACCTGCCACCTGAGAGCAAGGGAATGTATCTGAATTTTTGCTTTTGTTTTCCTGGAACTATCTAATTAATTCCCTTCAACTCTTATGAACCATCCATGATCCATGCATATATGCTGAGTAATACTAATCACTAAATTCTGAATCATTATCTCAGAGATTTCCTCCCTGGTTCACCATGGAAAAGGTACTATTGGACTGCTTGCTTTGGGGGATATGGCTGAATATTCCAGCTGTTCAGACTTACCACATTTTCCATCCTGCAGTACTTGCCCTGTACTGCATGCTTCATGCCCTTCAGTAGCTTTAGCTGGCTTCTGAGCCACTTCATATTCTGTCCCAGAAAACTGAATGTAAAATTGCTGTTTATTAATAGATTTCCTCAATGTTTTGATTGCAGTTTGCAGCTTCTGTTCCATCCTTTTCCGAACACAGTCAATGTTACAGGTGTCTAGATGGGAAATGATAACAAAACTAGAAGCAATTGAGATTCATGTTTAAAAGAGGTGATTAAAAAAAGCTGAGCCTGCATTGCACTATGACACCTCTGATTGCTTCACTGTCTTCTCCATACAAATTGAAGCAGCAACTCACTGTATTCAAAACCAGGCCTTTCAAAGAGACAGGACAGTACTCTGAGCTCCATGGAACAGTTCCATGGCCTTCAAGTGCACACTGAAGGCTGACAGCTCATTTCTGGCATTAGGGTTACACTGAGTGTACAGGCTGAGGGCTGCAGAAAGCATCAATCCCACTGTGTTCTCCTTCCAGGGATGTGTTCAGTCTGCCACTGACAATGTTGCTGAACTTTCTCAGCTGATTAGGAATTCTTGTCACTTCCCAGAACAAAATACTTTCATGTCAGTGACAAAAAGAAAGGCGTTTTCAGGCTCAACTAGTGTCTGAATCTCTTGGCTAGTGAGGTACCTCTCAAGGTTAAGAAATCTGCCTTTGAGGACTGACACATTTATAGAATTCAGTCTACATTTTCTTTGGCTGGAATTTATAATATAATATTCCATCCATTATTAACTTGAAGCAATTAGTTTTGTTATGAAAACATGAATTTTTCAACTGCGTGATAAAAGCCTGATTCGCAGACTAAACATTCAGCACCTTCCATTGTGGAGGATATTTTTATCACTGTTTTTGCAGAACTTCTACCTAATCCTTATGTTCCCTGTACACTGATTACTACTTGTGCTGTTTAAAGAAATCAGACTGAATTGAAGCACATGACTTAACTCAAGGCTTTGAAGAAATTTTGATGCAGGTGTAATCTTTGCTATTTGGCTTAATTTCATCCCTGATTCTTTTCCATTTAATCTCTGAAACTCTGAGTTTGGTTTGGCTGTTGAATGAGGCTTGTGCTAAAAGATGTTCAGGGAAGTTTGATGAAATAGCATCAAAGAGATTTTAACAATACACTGAGGAACTAAATTCTGATTTGCCTCCACAGACTTGTCTTTCACAAACCTGAGACTTCTTCTGACTTCATTTCCACTTCAAACTCTGCAGTGATATGGGACACTTCTTTTGATGGTGACTTGCGTCCTCGGCGTTTTTTCTTGGAGGAATCACACTTGAGATTCACAAAGGTCACCTGGCAGTTGTCTGTACAGGGGAATTGACCTCCTTYGCATTCGAGAAGCAACACAAAAAAAGAAATCAAGTAGCAAAGTAGCAAGTGACAGGCTAACARGTGACATCTCACTGGGTTAGCATGAATGCAGTGACAGGCTTCATAATACTTTCTGTGTGTTGTGAGACACTCCCTTCTCTGGGTAATGCTGGGTTTACTCATTTTGCTGGTGAATGCAGAAGGCAAAAGCTCAATCTGGTGATGYTCAGCTGTGCAGTGGTACCTCTAATGCCTAAAACTGCCTGGCYCTTTTCTGCATGAGGATTAGAAAATTCTTTGGAGAAATTACTTAAAATCAGCAAATAYTATAAACAGACATTTGATGGCTAAACAAAGTAAGAGAGTCAATTTTCATAAATCCACAAGAAAGTCAGGCCTGGGCCTCTAAAAACTATCAGTGGCTATTCCGTCTCTTTCAGAAGTGACAATCATCCAAGAGCAAAGGCTTTAAAAAAGCCTTTGATTGTGAAGTTATGAAAATGTATTGGAAGGTTTTATATGAGCAGGAATCATAAATTGCCAGGTGATGGACCTTCCAGGTCAGTGATAAATTTGTAGCAGTCGAGCCTCCAGGAGGATTTCATTCTGAGGGTGTGGTTGTGTGATGTAATCTCACTGTTCAGATCTCACAACTCAGGAGTTCAGATGCCATGACAGATAAGCAAAGTAAGCAAAGGATAAGGAAATGCATCCAAGAAATACATTCCCATAGTGATTGTATGRATTACGTGGACCAAAAAATTCAATTTCTATGACTTTAAAAATGAGTCTGGTAATCACATCTTATTTACAGGGTAATAAGCATCTTGATGACTTAAGACTTGTCTTAAAATTAGAGACATAAATGTGCAGATTGAAGGGTAAAGATAAAACATGAGTCTAGATTTTAAAAAGAAAATCTTTAAAACATTCACATTTAAAAAAAAATAGCTATTTTTACTCTTCTCTGTTTAGGGCTCACATATGACTTCTCTTTCACCAGCAAAAGTGGTGGTAACAGATTTACAACAGAGAGTATCATCAGCAGATGTTTGGTGTAAGTTGCTAAGATCCTTTAAACAGCAATAGATGCTGTTGCAATTACAACATCATAATGTATTAAAATCCAGAAAATTCAGTTATTATTAAATTTAAATGAACTCCAAGTATTTTAAACTATGGAGATGCCCAGCAATGACACCCAAACACTCCTTAATTKTTCTTGTCATGGCATCAAGGGGACATAGGGCAAGAAATGTCACAAAGATCTGTTAAATGTAACATCACTTTTAAAATCTCTTTTTTTTTTTTTTGGTCCACCTTTAAAAGTGGTGTTCAAAACTACTACTAATCAAAATACATACCTAGTCACACAAGTTTTGAAAACACTTGATTACTTGGATTCATTGTGATATAAACCTTTTTAATTCCATATTTTTGTTAATTATATCTGACTCTTATAAATACTTTTTCTAACATCATAACTACTAACTCATTCATAACAAAAGATCTAAGGCTGYGTAACATCAGATTTTCATAATAACTTTCCTTCTTAGGGGTTGTTTTTGATGCTACAATAGGTTACTAATCCAGCATAAAGCAAACAAATAATAGGTGTTGTATTCTTTTAAMAACCTAATTTGGGAAAACTAAACCAAAGCAAACTGACATTTTTCACATAACTTTGCATTAGTTGTAGTTTTTTGTCTTAGAGTATTTCTGCCATTATCAAGRCCAGAAAAAGGATCAGCTTAATTCCAAACTTATGTACTTTTGATCAAAGATTTGTCAAAGCAACAGGTGAGATTCTCAGCACTGATAGATCTAAACCCAAGGCATTGTTCAGCTTGAACARTGTTCAGGGTGAGAACCTTGGTCTAAACAAATTCAGAACAAACATGAAAACCATTACTTTTTTTCTTGTCTGCAGCATGAAAACAAAATAAGCAAACAAATAAGCAAACAAAAAAAAATCAAAGCACTGTTTACATGCTGGAAGAAAGCACATACCTGAAACAGCCTGCTTCCCAGAATCTTTTGCTTTTTCTTTGCTGCGAGGCCGTAAATGGCATTTTGCATCTTTGATTTTAAAACGAGCTTTCTGCTTGATTGGAGGGGCTAGTGAATCTGTTGATGTAAGGTAAAAAAGCTACCATTGGGATGCAGATGAAATGAGAACTGACACTTATTTTTAAAAACAGACTTATAAACTTAGTTCTGACATAAAAAAGAGGAAGCGCAAGAATGACACACCCTTGTACAAGGGAGTTCATTTCCACAAATTAATTTTTTCATGTGAGTACTTAACCTTGGGCCCCCACAGATCAGTGAATGTGCCTGTACCCCGCTTGCTCTGCACATACACTKCCCCTCTAGAAGGCCTGCACATCTTACTGGATTTTGGGCGAATTTGTCTTTTATTATGAAAAAGATTAWTTCCCACCCTTTTTGTTCTGGACTCTCCATTTATTTCCATGTTACTTGTAGTTCTGCTCTTGCTAGTGCCATTAATTAATTAATTAACGTCGATTAAGTGGAATTATGCTGTTGGCAATTGAAAACCATCCAAAGGAATTGCCTTTACTGCAGTCTATGGCTTGCAAGCTTTATCCCTCAGCTTTCAATCCAAGGCAGGTTTCACAGTCTTTTTTAGCATATAGCTATGCTCTGTGTATGAAATGGAGCTGCTGGCTGGCTTCCTCACAAGGTCCCTGGAGGAAAAGACTGGCCTGGCTGTCACCTGCCAGCTTCTGTGGGCTGCCCACGGGCCCTGGAGAAGCTGGGGATGGTCCCAGGTGATGCCACAAYGTGGGTCCCTCTTTCCTTGGTATCACCTTGCTGAACCAGGACTACAGAGGTGGCCTGTCCCTGTGTCACAAGCAGATACATCTGCTGCCATGCTGTGTCACCCACAACACTCCCCAAATGTAAACAAAYGTAACAAATACAAGGTTGGAGAAGTGGCAAATTGGAGAGAAGTACAGCAGGTAAATATAAAGGGGGCTGACACTTCCTACTGGTGTACATTGTTTCAGCTGCTTCTAATTTTGCCAGGCTTCACCTTTCATCTTATGCTATCAACTTTCATAAACATTTGAAATGTCTCTGCAAAAATAGGTCAGTCATTTCTGAAAACAAGGTGAATGAAATGCAGTATTTTCTCACAGAAGTCTCATAACCTTTTTATTGGAGGATAACCTTTTATCCTTGAATAGAAGGATCTGTGCTCCTATGGAAGAGCTTTGCAGATGAGGGCTGGGACTCACCTTGTGCTACAGCTGAGTCCCTCTGGCTCCTTCCCAAGCCTGGGAAAAAGTCCCATTTTGCTGTTCGCTATTGCCTTGCTAGTCTATGAAAGCAAATTATTCTAAATATTCTAAAGATATGTTCTTTACTGAACGTATCTCAAACCTGCACCTCTGACCCACCAACACAGACCACACACCCCACCCTTCAGGAGAGGCTGCACAAAAGGAATGTGTGCACGAGGCTGGCTGCATKCACTGGCTACCTTTGATGCCTAAAGATTTTTGCTTTTTATACATTTCTTTTTTTTTTTTTTATATTTTCCATATAGTTGTAGTTTTGTAGACTGTTAATATGTGGTTATATAGCTCCTGGTATTTTTCCTAACTTTTCTCWTAGATTTTAGAATAATAATCTAACCCTACAAACACATACTTGGAATTCTGTTTAGTCTCACTCTTAAGAAGAGAATTACTGACAAAGACATCTTATTTTCTACCAGAACTTAAGAGACATAACATGAGAATAGGGAAAAGAAGCCCCTGGACATACTCCAAGGGGGCTGACCCAGGGGTGRGTTCCTGGGGTAACTGATTTCCTATTGGATGTACCAGCCAGATATACAAATTAATTAACCCTATAGAATTATTGAAATCCTGTACCACGTGTGAGCAATGCCATATTTTGCACACTGAAAGCTTTAATTCAAGAGTCGCTTTTTTATCTTACTGCTTTAATTCTGGTGCRAGGTTTTTCCTTTCATTGTTAGGCAACACCTTAAGCCTGGCCTTGTCTAACTCAGGTGCCACACGTCCTGCCATCCCTGGAGCCCATCCCGTCCTTCCCTGGCCCAGAGCAGGGCAGCACTCACTCACCTGAGCAGCTGGGCAGGGTGSTGTTGCGCCTCGGCTGCGCTTTGCCGTGCTGCATGGGGACACCGCAGCTCAGCGTGTAGCTGTTCTCTGAGTCTGGGGGACACAACACAGTCAGCACAGGGCAACAGCTCACAAAGCACCTGCTTGATGCTTCAACTGCTTAATGCTGCTAAACAAGGAGACATTTAAAGTGCTGTACTTGGATTTTAAATGGCTGAAATATTTGGCCGAAGGCTACTGCTTCACAGTATTGACTACAAGGTTTGTTTCTTCCAGCACCGAAATGACACATTTTGTAAGTGATTTGGCACAAGGTTAGCTGTACATAATTCCACAGTGTACAAGCAGAAAATATTTTGTGCTTGTCCATGGCAGAGTCCTTGTGCTTTGATCATCCCTATAATTTAAAAAATAAGCCGTGTACTTTCATAATTTTAACTTCAGACCCTGACAGAATTCATTGACAGACACAAAAATGATATACTTAGAACCATAATAGCATTTACATGTTGCACAGATATWAGTGTGTCCTGGTGCTTACAAATTAGAGAATTGCACAGTTCCAGTAATTTCTGCTAAACTGAAAATAAAGTGTGAACAGCTCTACTGCATATAATGCYAAGACTAAACATGAAGAGTAGACACTTGCAAAAAGTCCTGTGCCAGAACATCTAAGAAAAAGCAGCAGCAGGTCCCCCCCACACCTTCCCTTCAAAATTGTGAAGAGGAAAATTACCAGTGGCAAATGGTAAAAAAAAAAAAAAAAAAGTGGGGAGGGAAACGAAATGCCCGAGTTTTTATAAATAACACTTTGCTGAACTAAGAGACACATCCAGTGTAATCAGGATGGTGCAGAAAAAAATGTTTGTATATTTAATTGCTATGACAAAAGGGAGGGCAAAAATGAACAGTTGATTCTAGTGAATTCCTGTTAGTTTTTAATACAAGGCTTTTGTTAGAATTTTCTCACCCTTGCAACTGMCACCTCAAATTAAACAGTGAAGGACCAAACTTCTAATGTGTAGCTGACAATCAGTTTTTCTTGTATTTAGTGACATGCATATCTGGCCCAATTTAATTTATAATGGTGTTTTGCTCATTTACTGTTGTCCATAACAAAATTGAATGCAAGAATCATGAATACATTAACAGAGAAAAATCCTCAAGTCACATCCCAGACRTAAGAGGATAAATACTTGGTACAGACCTGGCACAAAAAGAGTGTTGGATGGGCATGACAGGAAGCAGCTCTCTATGCCACCTGTCTTACTGCACACCAAGTGAGCCTTGGGAGCTGGTTTGGCATTTGGGAGACATCTCACCATCTCTGAGGAGGAAAAAAGAAAGAAATGTAAAACAATCAGACACTGCTCAGCCCAGAACCTTGTGTGTATGCCTGGATACAATGGTGAGAAAAGGCMCAAGTGGCAAAGGAGCATAATGACAGAAACAACTACTTATGAAATAAGCACATACTAGGAGAGAGCATCTGGATTTGGATCTTAAACTTGTATTTGAAAATGAAACTCCTTCACATTTTTAGACCTAAACTCCAGATCAGTCTTTCCCTCCCATCCTCCACTTTGGGACCAYCTGAGCATGGGTCCAGATCTCACTCTGGAATGCAGCTGTCTCTCTGAGCACAGTTCTGTGTGCACATCTTCATCTCAGAAGCAACAGGCAACATTAATGACCTAATGTCTCCTTTCCCTCCTTTGGAGACACAGCTCTCTGATTTAACAGACCAACTACCACACTATGCACACTGATCTGTCTATTTAGATGACCACTAAAATAGTATTTTTTAATTTTCTCTCACAGAGTTTTTATCTCCATGCTCTAGCTCCTGAAGCTAGAAAACTTCCTAACCAGGCAGAGGGGAAGCAAGAGATTCTGGGGTAAAGATGGATAGTCCTGCTGGTCCTTTCAGTCACTGGTGAAATGCCCCARTGTGAAATGTGTTACTTAAGTACATTTTTCCCTCACAAATGACAAGGTTCACTCTTGCTGCAGCCAGCACATGCCATCACTCCCTAGAGGGATGAGGCTTCACTGCTTCCCTCCTTTTCTCCAGAGGGTTCCCCTCTGCACTGGTGGCTGGCCAAGTGCAGTTGGGCACCTCTTCAAGCAGCTATTTCACACTGCAGCTTCTTAAATCTTAGCCAGGTGGCTATGGGGCAGTTCTTGCTTCAGCCCCATATGAATGTTGTTTCAGGTACRTGATTTTTCTCCACCTCTTTCTTGCTGCTTCTTCCAAACAAGATAGGCTTGGCTGACATTTGTTTTTCTCACACCTGACTATGCTACTGCAAATGTTTATCCTACCTGTCRGCTCACCAGAGGATCACACCTAGGTAGGGGTTGCTTCTGAGACCAGAGCTGTAGCAGCTAGACTGGTTTGGGTCTACCAGGGCTTGGGAAAAGCCCASTAAAGCCAGCATGAAACCAAGCAATTCAGATGAAGTAGCTGGAATGAGTGTTGCCTGACTTGGCTTGAGTGCAGAGGAAGAATCCTAGCAGCTTTCAGCTGGTTTGTATGCCTGGCCTCACTGGTCATTAAAAATAAATATATAGAAGTCCCATAAACATGCCTGATGTTCACATCTCAAACATGGGAACAATCATCCTCCACTTATCTCCCYCCGAAGTCTTTGCTTTGGTGATGTCTTTAAAGAAACTATTTTCYATGGACTAAGGAGGCAGCAAAACACAAAGTGCCATTGCTGAGCAGAAGAGCATTTTGTTACTGCAAAAGTTTCCAAATCACATGTCATTGAGGATCACTAAATAGAATTCTTCTTTATACTGTGCTTTAGTAACAATTCAGAATATAGTTTCCTCTTAACAATGTTGGTAATAAAGGCAGGAGATCAGCAGGGAGATGACACTCACACTCATTTTAGGCCTCATTGAAACCATCAAATACTACAGTGTGTATCAATAAAGGATGTCCTATTCCCATCTTACAACTGAGCATTCTAAATAATGAGGAGAAATCTACAACCAGGAAAATATTTTCAATACAGCCTCTTATCATGGGAACAGAATTCTTAGAAGGTTGAGAGGGAGTATAGCACAAGTGCTAAAATTCCAAGAATTTTAGTCCCAGCTGTCAATTTACAAAATCCTTTCTAGAGGAATAACTRGGATATTGCAAGGGAGACCTAGTGGCTAACTAAAAACCACAATTAGCTATTGCCCACTGTCACAATACTTAGTTCTCTATATAGCAGGGAAAGTAATATTCAGACAGAAAAAAAGAAAAAAAGTAAAGCACTTAGTTGTGGTTAGGAAGAACACAGTGGCAAAGGCTTGAACTCAACTTGAGGTATTCATCCACCACCCCACCCCGCCACAGCCACTTCTGAGTCACATTTTCACACTTACCAACACAGTCCTTTTTATTCCAGTGAAGTTTCTTTCCAGGTGGGCAGACACACTCATAGCTCCCCATGGTATTAAGACACCCATAGTCACAGCTACCATTGCTGATGCTGCATTCATCAATATCTGAAAACACATTTAAAGTTGCATTCATCAATATCTGAAATTTCACATTTCAAGTTAAATGTGAAAACACATTTAAAGTTTTTAGCCATGTGTACACACCTGTACTGTGCATTAAGATATGATGTGCATAAGGAAATCTATTTTTACTATATTTTTTACATGTGAGTCTACATAAACATGTAAAAAGGCAGACAGTGCCAAACAACTTCAGTGCACATTGCAGGTATTTGTTCTTAGACAGCTCCTACTTTCCCGAGGATTTATGCATTTGATRCACTTTACTTGCCAGGACAAGTTACACTGAAATTCTTGGAAGTACTCACAAGAYACATAACATGCTCGAAGGTCTCTGCAGCATCTGGACAATAATGCATATTGCATTATTTAGAAAAATGTCAAAGGCATAAACCTCTGTGAGATTAGATCACTTCTGCAAAACAAGGAGATAAATTCTCCACAGTAATTCCCAGAGTTTGTTTTTAGAAATGATTCAGGTGAAGAAGGATATTATGCATTTGATAGACACTAAGCAGTTGACGTGTAGTTTAGACTTTTACTCCTCAAACGAAAATAAAAGGCAAAAGCTCACAAGAAGGCAAAGAAATGATCGTATATGTTACCAATGATATTCCAGAGAAAATCTTTCAACTTTTGGTACAATAAAAAATGAAAGGATGTTCATTTATTTATTTAATGASCTGAAATAACACTGAATCAACAGAATTGCAGATGCTCAAAATCAGAAATACACAGAATTGCTAATGCTCTGGCTGAATGGTAGGCCTCAAATTTAAGAATGGAAGAACTAGAACTAATGACCTGAGTGGCAAAACTTAGGGCCTGGAAAAGTCTGGATTCAGAATTGTGATTTTGGATCTGCTCATTATGGAAATATGAGGGAGGTTTGGATCTGGTTATGTTTTTGCTTTTCAGCATTGAGTATTTCCATTTGGAGTTTCATTCCTTCTTCAGTCTTTTTTAAAAGACTGAAGTGGAACTGAGATTGAAGATTATTTAAAGATTGAGGCAGAATGCCAAACTTTGAGGCTTTCCCTAAATTATTRCATTAAGTCATTAAGGAATTAACAATGAAACTGAAGATCAGTCTCTCCACGCCTCACATCACACAGGTCCCAAAAACTTCTGGACTCTTGATTTTGCTTTCACAACTGCTCCCAAGTGCACCCAAACTGCTTTCTTGGATGGACCCCTGTTTCTCTTCCTGCCTGCCTCTCTTCTTACCATGAATTCATGTGATGCTTACCTCACTCTATAGAAGAGAGACCAGCATACACCTCCTACACCTTTCTCCCCAAAAAGAARCCATGCAGAGATATCATCAGCAAAGTCTCATGTTGACATTACAAAATCAGGTGAACGCAGCACTCACAAGTGGGGGGCCAGCATCTGTTTCTGCTACATCAGTTGRAACTCTAATTTGGTCATTGTGGTAATACTGCCCTATGATGCACTTAAAAAATATCCCCCTCCTAGATAATGAAACATTACAGCACCAGTTCTTTCCAGTCATACCAAAAAATGTGAAAGTAGCTCCCCCAGAAGATGGACGGAAGATCCACCACAGCCTTCTTTTATGCATTTCAYGGGCAGTTTATGTCACACACTAGTAAGGAAAAATTCCAACAGGGCCAAAATGTGTAAATTTGGCAAAATTGACATTTTTCTCCTATTCTCTTCGTTTTCCATCATATGAAGCCTCCCTACAGTTGTGCCTAACCTCACTCCTGTGGAAGTACTSATCAAAAAATGGTGGGACATTAGTTTTCATTGGTGTTTCCCTCTTGGGAATGCTTCAGTGAATTTAAGATGCTGAAATTTTAGTCACATCCAGCTCACGACATTTTAGGTTTATTTTAAGTTTATTGCTTTATCATCTTCAGTTATAAAACCTTAATCTAAAACAATGTGTGGCTCTGCAAACAGTTCACAAAGCAAACAAATACACACGCAAGCAAGACTCAGTTTCCAAACCTCCACAGTGCGTCAGTCCGTACAAGGTGTAGCCTTTGTGGCAGAGACATTCAAAGCTTCCAGGGTAGTTGATACAGGTGTGATCACAGGTCCGTTCAAAGGAACACTCATCTATATCTGAATTCATAGAAAAAGCAGTAAGAAATTAGACTTAATCAGGTTACACCGAATGACTGGAATTTCTCATTGAGCTGCACCATCTTGTTACTGGTAAAGTATAATTTACCATCCCAGGTAAARTCTGATTAAAATATCATTCTCATTCCTCTAGTGCCTTATAAAGAAAATACTTACAGGTACACGGAAAAGGACAAGAAAACACAATTTGGAAAAACCCCATGAAGATTGTATTATGTATGTTCCCCATTAGATGGCAACCTTTAACTTCTGATCATACTGACCCAGCAGAGCTGGGTGAATATTGAGCTTCTGGGGAGGTTAGTGGCACAACGGAAAAAAGGTTTGGTTGAATCAAGCAGTTCCCTCTTTCACTGACCATTCCTACTTGACATCTTGCCCACCAGSACAGAGCTCCCAGACTTCTGCTCTGCCTGCACAAGACTGCACGCACTTGCAGAGGATAAGCAGAACACAGCCAGAGAATAAACCAGCATCAGGAATGGACAGGCTGCACCTAACACAGGAAATATTAGTCCAAAGTCCACAATCTACCCAATCCAAGAMAATATGACCTCTTCCCTTTAAAAAAAGTCAGCTATCTCTAATTATCATTGCTCACCAAAGTGAAACCCTGGTTTACACAGCCTCTCCCATCCAGTAGGCTCTGAAGAAAGTAACTAAAAGCACATTGCTTCCAGGACAGTACAAAGRCTTTGCTGAGCAGGTGCTGAAGAGGTTTATTTGACAGCAGTCCTGACAGAATGGACWTGCTGAGAACATTAAAGATACCTTAAACAGCAATCTGTGTAAAAAAACACTTTTGAGCTAATTTTATTGCTTTTAAAAAAAAAAAAATCTCTTCAGTGATTATTTTTTTTGCTTATAGGTCGGAAAAATGAATACAGTGACATTATTTGAGAGTGGTCATTTCAACAAATCTCATTCCTCCAGTGTTCCTGAGTTATAAACGAATAGTATTCCTATAACAGTTCCCATTCTTTCTAGAGTTACTTTTTTAAAAAAAAACCTTAACAGCACCATTGCAATATATAACTTAAGACTTKCATAATGTACATGCTTGGAAAGATATTGGTGTTTGAAAAAACTTGAAAACTCACCATACTTCAGGGCATTCTACCCAATTCCTATATCCTAGTATTTTTACATAGTTTTGACATTTAATGAAACAATCTAGGTCTCATTCCATTATTACAAATGCAAATATWTACCTTCTATAGAAGGTAAGAACTATAAAATTGAAATTTTCTGTATGTGTACACAAACCCAAAATCTGTGTGAAAATTTATGCACAAACTCAGAATGTCATAAACAGCTATATTTTATATGACCTCCAATTTTAAATGTTTCAAAACATTCACACAAAAGATAATTCACAATGTGGGAAGCAACTGTTCAGGCATAACATAAAATGAAATAAAAACAATGAACAAAAATCTGTGTTATCCAGTTTTATGTGTACATCACAATCACTTGCTATGATCAAGTCACAAAAAGATGACAACTGAGATTTTCTCTTTCTTACATCTATTTAATTCTTAATGCATTTTTGTATCCATTTTAAAATATTGTCATTTGAGCTCTGAAAGTAATTTCTTTTTAAGGTTTCCTTTATAGTCTTGGAAATAGGCAGCTTTTGAATGCACATAAATGGCAAACTGTTTCAGCTTTCTCTAAATAAATACACAAAGTAAAATCATTTGGGAATGAACACTGCAGCTATACTTTTAAAGGATTTTTAATGCTTAAGAAGCCAAATCATACATCGTGGTTTCATTCATGTGCAACCTYGTTCGCTAGATGGTATTGTGGGAAATTTATAAAAGGACTTCATTTTCTCGCCTCTGACTTCCTTGGAAGTCTCTTTTTCAAAACCAATTTCATATTTCTCACTAGTGATCTTATCCTGCACTAGTTTAGTCCAGAGTGTATATGCACTGCTGTCACACGTAGCACTTTGTGTTGCTGCATATWTGGCTATTTTTCTTCACATTAAGGAGGATGCACTACCCTCTCTGCTCGTGGAAACAACAGTCTGCCTGATGACATTACCACTGCTTGTTGAGTAATAGGCASTCAGGATGGCCAAATGCATTTCTATTCCATAGCTTTTTCACCATTTAAACCTCTCATCCCACCTCCTGCTGCTGTTCTCAGTCTCTGCTGAATTCAGTGTCTTGCTCTGGCTGCTGGAACAAGGGAAGCCTCCATGCAGGTTCCCCTGGCTGAGCCTCAGCCCCGGCTGCTCCYGGCTGTGGAAGGCAGGGAGGGACACAGCTTTCTGCAGAGCCCTGTCTGCACAATCACCAGTCCCCTGAGGAATTCAGCACTTGTCATAGAAAAGGGAAAATATGCACCACATGCTCTTCATTACAAGAGACTGGCGTTGTGATACAGGATGCTGAAATCCTTTCATTTTAAACTCTGAATTCTGTGCTCTGCATGCCGTTATCCCTGGGCTCCCAGGAACTTTGATGCTGGCCCTCACACCTCTGTGGTGCTTCACAGTGCTTCTCCATATTTAGCCTGAAAGGATGTGCTTATTTCCCACCACCCTCAGATACAGGTGTATCTCACAAGAGACTATGGGGCCAAGAATTTGACCTTCACAGACCCGGGTTTCATATCCTGCTTTACCATAACAGCTGGGAACAAACGTGGGGATCTCAATCCTGTCTCCTTTGTACAAACAACACAACAAAATCTGGCAGCCTTCTCTACTGAAGAGAAGTCCAAAAGTACAAAAGCAGAGATGTGGCAGGTTACAGTACCAACMCCTCCCACCCCACTCCCAAATACACACTCAAACATGCAAACATTTTTGTATTGTGTTGCTCTGAATTGCCCTCCTTCAACACTCCAAAATAAATACTGATAAATTAACGTTTTGGGTCTGAGGTGTTCTTGAAATGATTTCCAGTTATTTAAATTAAGTTTTTTAAATGTTTTAAAAGAAAGGTCAAAATTATATGTTTTTAAGGAACTGTGTTGGAAAACTTCAACTTAATGTTGAAGTTTGGATTCTATTTTTAGTTGCATTTGGCATRAATTCACATGTAGTCCAAGCTGATTATGAACATTTCAGATTTGCTAACACACTTATTTGGCACCAAACACATTCTTTTTACTTTCACTTAGTCAAAAATTCATACACATTCACCACTGCAGTCAGCATAGGTGACATTGTCATTTCAGCATATTGAGAGATGTCTTCACTGCTGAGCTGTTTGAAACTTACAGGAACTGTGGGGCTAAATTCATTGCCGGTAGCACATTCCTGCCAGCTTTTTAAAGGAATACTAATGATRCATATAAAATCTAAAAAAGGAGCTTGTGACTTCACAGCAGATGACCCAGTGGAAGTGCTGAATTCAGGGGTTGGAGCAGGTGATCTCTAAGGGTCCCTTCCAAGCCCCTCATGGGAGGGGTCATGGGGTCATGGTGATCTCTAAAGGTCCCTTCCAAGCCCCTCGATAGATTCATGGGCACACTGGCAGTGCCAGACTTCTCTTCATGGTGTCCTGTGCCACTCACAGCTCTCCTTCTAGTCCCTGTTTCCAAGGCATCATCTCAGGCTGAATAAAGTCCTGTATCTGTTATAGTAATCCACATTCTCACCTCCAAAGAGAATGGTTGAACAGTGGAAGCACTCCTTAATTATTCCCTAGAAGGAATTCAACTGGAAGAAATTATTCAATGGTTTAATAAAAGAKCAGAATTTCCCTGAGGTTTTGAGGGAAGCAATTTTTGGCAATGGTGGCCATGCTTGATAATATTAGTTTGGCTAGGTTCCTATTATTTCAAGTCAGCATTTAGATTTTATTGTTGATTTTTCAATCATATGTAGTGCTTTTATTTTTTTTTTTTTTTTAATTTTTTTTTTTTTTTTTTTTTTTTTTTTTTTTTTTTTTTTTTTTTTTTAGTTCAGGCTTTCCCATGTTAAACGATCCCATAATGATCTTTATTTTTCTTGAATGCAAAGTTTTTTAGTGGGTGTCAGATTGTCAGTACTGGAAAGTAAATTCTTCTATCTCCAGAAGGGAGCTACCAGAGATCAAATTTCTTCTGAGTTTCCTCAAACAGATGTGTCTCAAAGGTGACCYGAGGAAGCAGGGAATAAAGCACCTCATTTTCCATGCTCATTCAAGTCCCTGCTCTTTCCACCAGTGCTGCCACGAGACTCCCAATTACAGTAGCACCAATTGTTCTGTGGTTTGTGTGATGTGGACAGTGACTCATTTGTGGACGTAGGGTGCAGGGCACCCAGAAGCCATCACACAGCGGTGATTTTTGCTAAGTCTGAACCTGAGCTGGATTCCGACCAGCAGCTCTGAAGTGAAAGGCTCCTTTCTGTACTCTGTTTCCAACCCTCAAATGCAGTGCACTGTATTCCTGATTGTCATTGCTTTCTTCATCACTCTAAGATAAATTTCAGACTAATTAAAAGAAACCAGTGCTCAGGAAATCAACATGTAATGCGGGAYATTTCCATGAAGCATTAGCATTAGAAACAAGCAGCTCAGCACCAGACACACACAGGTGAGACTGGTAAATCCTGATGGATTTTGAGACGTTTTAGAACTGCAAACTGATGCAGGAATTACTGTGACAAAATGCACATGTGCAAAACTCACTTGCACAGAGGTGTAATTTGGGTTTGTGGTTATATAACTGAAGAATTCAATGCCCAGCTTCCCAACCTCACACTAAAAATCTACTTCAAAAATGGGGATTGTCCCAACTCTGTTTTTCTTAATGTAATTTTGTTKGTTAATATTAAGAACAAGTGAAGAAATTTTTTAGAGAAAACTAATGGTCATCTCAACAACTTTTCTTTGAGACATACACTAAGTAACTAGGTCAATATATGAAACTGAGAGCCTCCTTCCAAAACAGAGGTCATATATCAGAACCAAACAAGAGTTTAGTCCTGAGCTTGGAGTATTTGTCATGTAATCTGAAAACAAACACGGCAGGAA